TTCATTCTGGCATAACTTAAGGCAAGAGATACTCTGTGAATACAGAGGCTTGCCTGACAGGCTGAATGATTTATCCACAGTTACATAGCCAGTAGGTATTACAAGCAAGTCTTGGACACAGGTTCTCCTGACTCCATATCCATTATGCCAGGTTACCTAGAGTAGCTTCTCTAGGACTTTGTATGTGTATTTCACATATGTACTCCATGGAGTTAAGTTCTTGAACAACGTCATTATATTGGTAAATCCTGGGCTACATCATACTGGTAAATTCTGAGTTGCACATGTAAATTATTATGCTTTCGCACATGTGAGTATGTAACATTCTATGGTGTGGCCATAAATGTACTCAATCCAGACACTGGACCCACTTCCTATTCTGGCATAGAGATATAGACCAGCTCCTCATGCAGTGCAGGGCAGGCAGGGCAACCACCGCCTTTCAGTCCCCTACGTTCCACAGCGTCCCCTGAGACAGCCATGCACGATTACCTGGGGAGCCTGCCAAGGATTCCCCTCTGCTGAAGGCGAAGGTACGGGACACTGAGACAGGCACTAGAGAGGCAGTGGTCAAGGAGATGTGGGTAGAAGAAAGGAAAGATAAACACAAGGAAAAAAACAAAGGAAGAGGAAAAAGTGTAAGACAGTCTGTTCCTGGAACTTCACAACATTACATTACTCTGTTTGAAGTAAGCCTGTGTCTGGATCCACCGATGACTCACCCTCAGCTAGAACCAATCTGCCCCTAAACAGAGAAATGGAGAGGGGATTGCCATGGGAGCCCAGTGATTAGAGCTAGGTCTGCTACTACCATATTTTTAAATGAAGCCTTTGGCTTCTAGGTAAGCAAATAGGCAGTCTTCAATGATGTAAATAATCTGGGTGATTAAAGTGGAAATACCAACTATAAAAAAGATAATGTCCTAATGGAAGAAATCTATAAGTAGAATCCTCTCTGAGGTCCCAATTCTGGGGCAGCTCAGACCTTAGCACCTTGACACTGAATTCTAGCTACCACACAAGTACTTCACTTCTTTTCCTAACTGAGGAAGCTCATACCATTTCTTAGAGTCTGTAGGAATAAAACAGTTATTGAAGATGGTTCCATTAAATATATAAAACAAACACTTTTTGCAGCCCAATCAAGCTAGACAAAACACACGCCAGGCAAGTATCACCAAACGAACCCCTAGTTCAATTAAGTTAAGCTAGAAGAGACCCTAAGACTCCTCTAGCCTGGCTACTGAGAAGGCTCTAACCTAGGCCACAGTTTACCTGGTCTGGGGGGAAGGAAGCTGCTCTCTATTAGGCTCTTATCTTAACTAATTATTCTTGGTAACTTGGTGCCAAACTCAGTTGTTTCTAAGTTTCTGAAGGGCTAAACATGCCCAGTGCCCCCTTCTAAATTTTGACCCATTGGAGGCAGAGCCCTGATCACCTTGCCCTAGTTATATCTGGTACCCATGCTTTTGCAAGTAGTAACTTATGTGGGAAATATATTAAGTAGTTGTACCCTCCTTGTACCTGAACTAGGAGCCTCTCCCCATGGATAACAGTGCTATTTAATGAATAATGAAGGCTAGAGGCTGGGGTGGGGGAGCAATTCTGTTGCAGCCTTAATTCTATGCATCTACTTCCCAACAGGCATAAGAGGACTCCTTGTCCTCCCCTGCTCCACTCTTCTCTCCCCGTTTCATTTCTCCCTTCTTTCCCACCAAATTAAAGTGGGTCAAGGGAACCTAACTCGAGGCCTTTCCAGGAGTAGACTGGACATTAGCTACAGGTGAGCACACATTGAAACTGACAACCTCTACTTGCCAGAGCACTTAACCAGAGGCGAGTTAATCTTGAAGTCCTTCGTTTCCACGCTTGCAGCAACATTAAGGCTGCTTCAGGGGACAGGAGGGATGCAGTTAACATCAGAGTAACCAACATCTGAGATACTAAGTAGTATCTGATGGGGAAGCCAACTTCACAAATGGACTCAATGGTCTCCAAGATCCTTTCTGGCTCTGCTCTATGAACCTATGATCTTATTAAGGTCATCATTGCACTATAAGCTGGCTTCCCAAAGGTAGAGGAGTCTTAGAAAGTCTGCCCTACAACTATCAAGAAAAGTGAAGTTCCTTATCAAGCCTGATTTTTTATGATGGCCATAGGGCAAACTGTCCTGCCACCTCGTCATATTTCCTCCTTACCCTCATTGGCTGGTATAGTTTCAATCTAGTCATGAGTCATAACATAGGAAACTAGGCAAATCAAGGGCTCATATCTCAGTTCAAAATGCGCTATGGTCCAACCAAAGCCCTTCCCATTTGGTTCACACTTGGCTTGTGAAGGGAGATGGCTTTGTTAGATCATATTCGCAGTGGATGCTTCCTTCTAAGCAGCTACCCCATAAGTAGGTTATCACCAGCTTTGTAAGCATTTCATTCACTGGGTGGAGACAGAGAACAGTAATTTTCCTCTTCACTGGCTTGTAGGGTTTTTTTCCCCCTAAAGGATTATATAAAGGGCTTTTGGTTTTGTTTTCGTGGGTTATACATTTGCCCAAATCAGTGGTGCATTGCTACTTGCTGGGATTTCACTGAGAAGATGCAAAGTAACCTGTCACACCAACACGACAGTGCCTTCAACAGTGCCTGAAACTTTCATTCAGTCATGCAGTGCTGAGGATTATGCTCTTGCCTCACTCACCATTGTTGCTGAAGAGGACCAAGATGACAATACGATTTTGATACTGGGGTGAATGTATAGAGTGTCCAACTGTGGCTGATGAGACCAACATGAGCTCAGATAGCTTCTCCTGCCTCACTAAACGAGTGGGACGATACTTTAAAAACTTTTAAAATGGGACAAAACTTTTAAAAACATAAGACAAATGAAAGGAGGATACTAGATGTATTATAGCTTTTCTCACATGTTTTTGAGAGAATGAAAGTGGTCTGGGTTGATGGGAAGAGAGAGGATTCTGAACTAGTCTTCAGTTGCTCCTACCTAGTCTAGCATTGGGAGTGGAATAGTTTTGGGAACACCTCCTTACAGCTCATTAGATTTCTTTTCTTTTTTCCTTCTTTCTTTTTTTTTAGGCCACTGGGGTTAAGTGACTTGCCCAGGGTCACGAAGCTAGTAAGTGTCAAGTATTTGGTCTAAGGCCAGATTTGAACTCTGGTCCTCCTGACTTCAGGGGCAGCGCTCTATCCACTGCACCACCTAGCTGCCCCACTCATTAGATTTCTGAAGGTCACTCTTCCCTAAATTCCATAGGTCTTCAATGGGAAGTGACCTGTGGATATTCACGCTAGGGGAACAAAGTTCTTGTCATCTCTTCCTGACTCGGCAGGTCTCCCTGAGCCACTTACCACCCATTACAACCACATTAATGAAACTAAGGTGTCAATCATTCAACTCATAGAGGACTGGGAGTACTGTGGTGTAGCTCCCACTGGAACACGACCACACCCAGATGGCACTGATAGCTTTCACTGTGTTCCTACTTAATGATTCCGCCTCCCTCAGCTGAAGATTTCTCCAACAACAGTTAAGCTTAACGACCCTCACCTACCAAATTAAACAAGACTGAAGGGTTCTGTCCTCATTTTAGGGATCTGCTGCATCTAGAGCTCTGCCATCAGCTAAGGATGTGCCTATGGGAAATTCAATTGCCTTTCTATTTCTGTTATGGCTGTGAAGTAAAACTATATAGCAAATGATTCTGTGAAAATTCAGTTTCCTGATGCAGAGTAAGAGACATAAATTCTGAATCTCCCTGATGCAGTATGAGCTAGTTAGGGCCCTATGTTGGGACTGTAGTTCCAGCTGGGCTGTTGACTTTCTGTATGACTTCAGATGAATCACTTTTTCAATTTCTTCCTGTGGAGTAGGTTACATTACCCTGATTATTAATAGTAATGTAAAAGTGATGTAATTCATAGCAATGTAAACACACACAGAGGAATACACTCACCAGGAAATATGATAATCCAGTGCTTTGGGATCTTTTGATGGAAGTATAAAAACAAAGTGCTATTCTACTTTTTAATGTAAAAAAAAAAGCAAAGGAAAGGAAGAAAATGTCTTCCCTAGATATATACATGGCTACAATGAGAGTCAATGGCCTAAAGTAACACAAAATTTAGACTAGGGAACCCAAGAGCACACAAGAGAAGAATATCTCCTGGATCACGTATGCCATATCCATGCACCTACGTCCAAATGGAAGAACTAAGTGGAAGAAAGCAGGCCAACAGTACGAGAGAAGACAAGCAGCCACCATGTTATTTGCAGCTTAGCAGCAATCAGCCTCCTATCAGCAACGCCCAGACTACGTGCACTTCCCAATAGATGGCGCATTACGACTTACACGGATTTCCCTGAGAAGCAAAGTGATCTGTCACACCAACTCAACAGTGACTTCCACAGAGTCCCTTCACTAGTTCTTACCAAGGTCCAAGATTAATGAACACATTAATGGCCTCTAGTGGTCTTCAAGTAAAAGCCTAACTTATGAGGAATCACAGATTTAGAGGTAGAAGAAACTTTACAAGTCATTCAAATAAACCTCCTCATTTTATAGCTGAGGAAACTGAGGCCAAGAGAGATTAAGTGACTTGTCCAGGGTCACACAGGACCCTCATTCAAACCCAGGTTTTTGGACTCCAATACTCTTTTCACTACACCAACCATCTCCCCATCTAGTACAAAAAGAAAAACTTTAGCCTTTTTTTTTTAGTAAGAAGCATGAATATAACCTGACTCTTTGGTACTTGAAAATAAATAACAATAATTCCGCCCTTCAATATTTCAGTGGTACGTAGATAAGCAGGAAGCATTTTAGTCACACAGAAAGTAAGCAAAAGCTGCCCAGCAACAGGAGGACAAGACAATTTGTGTTCATTCCAAGCTTGGGGCCTGAACTGCTCAGTCCATGGCCCACGTGCAATGTATCTGAGGCAGGCGCATATCACCATATGTGAGAAGAGGAATCAAGAGATACATACAAAAGACGGAGGATCCAGCCAGACTTCCAACCTTTCGCACATCATTATCTGAGGAAAGAAGCAGAAATGTAGTCACTGGTAACTCAGAATACACATCTTCCTACTGAATCGTACCTCTCTCTTATCCCTAGCTCCACTTAGAGCCACAAAAACTGAGAAAATATACTGAGGATTAGGATACCGTGGGGCAGAGAAGAAGATGGGGATAAACTCAAGAGTCAAAGCCCTAGGTCGTCCCTGGCTTCAGACCCTTTTATGCTGAACAGACCATGGTGGGGTAAGTGAGGTACCTGAACACACAGTGGTCATGATAGCTGGCACACCATAGTAAGTGAAGGCTCCATTCTCAAAGCGAAGACCTTCTTTACCAACTTCCACTTCTACTTTACCCTAGGGAGAGAAAAAAGGACATTTCTTCTATCTTGTCGGTCGCAGCCTAGATGAGTTACTAGACAGAGAAGCACCTGATTTAACTAACATTAAGCAGATTCAGTGTTTCTTGCATAGACGTGAGCTCAAATAGACAGATGTCAACCAGGTGCTTACTATGTGCAGAGTCTAAGTTCTAGGCAGTTGCCAGACTACTGTACTAGGTGCTGGAGGGACATGCAAAATTGAGATAAAGCACAGTACCTGACTTCATCGAGCTTATAGTCTAAGAAGAGGAAAAGACATATAGATAATTATCATACATGATGATGATGAGAGTAAAATTAACAGCTGATTTTATATAGATTTTGAGGTTTACAAAGTGTTTAATATATATTATCTAAATGGTCATCACAACAAGCCTGTAAGGTAGGTGCTGTTAGTAGCTCCATTTTACAGATGTGAAAACTGAGGTTGAATGATTTGCTTAAGGTCAAACAGTGTCAGAGGCAGAATTCAAACCCAAGCCTTCCTTACTCCAAGTCCATGCTATCCACTATGCCAGGTACTTAATCTACGCACAGCAGTGCAGCATTCCAAATTGCCTAGGTCTGAGTGTGTTGTCCCAGTGAATCACAGCGAGTTATACATTGCATCCCAAAAATCTTAGTGTGGTTTTGATTTTTGCTAACTTCAGAAACATAAATGCTATGAACTTACCAAAAATGTTATTTGAGAGTTCACTTATTTAAATTTCTTTTATACTTATTTGGGTTTGTGAATTTTGAATGATGTATTTTAAATTTTAATTTTCACAAGACAGCGCAACTTGTCATTACGCATTTTGGGTATGACAATTTCTGCAGTGGTTTGGTAGAGGAGGGCCTCATGCTTGGCCACCTCAGTCATCTGACCTAACGCCATTAAACTTTTTTTCCATCAGGGGCTCACACCAAAACTTTCTAGTGTGCATCAAAACATCATTCTTTGGATTGTCTCACCTAATGAAAGCTTTTATGAGGTTAAAAAACTCACTAGAGTGATATATAGCACAAGACTGTGGTTATGTTGAATTTTTAATAATAAACACAATAAAAATTAAACTTTGAATGATTAGCTTCTCAAATGTTATTTTTTTGTAAGTCTGCAGCATTTATACATCTAGGTTATTAAAGGTTGACCCAGGTTAAAACTGCACTAAGACTTTTGGGACATCTTGCATATTATATGCTATCTGCAGCCAGGTCATCACTAAGGCACCACCAGAGATTCGTGTCTGTATGTTATTTTGACACAGAGGAACTGAATATCGTCCTAGAGTCTTGTCTAAGTCTGGCTCAGTTTAGTGTGGATTTTGTTTTATTATTTGAAAGTGGATATATTTCTTATTAACTCATTTATTTATTAAATGGTTAATATTTGTAAGGCACCTTCAGCACAGTACCTGGCATGTAATAGGCACCCTATATATGCTTATTCCCTTTCTCCCCTTCTTATTACACATTGTTGTTCAGTCATTCATTATGTCCAATTCTTCAGGACCTCATGGACCATACTGTTTATGGAGTTTTCTTGGCAAAGATACTGGAGTGGTTTGCTATTTCCTGCTCCAGTGGTTTAAGGCAAATAGAGGTTTAGTGATTTGCCCAAGGTCACACAGCTAGCAACTGTCTGAGGCTGGATTTAAAATCAGGTCTTCTTGACCCCAGGCTCTTATTATGTCTAGATAATGCTTTAGAGGTCTTTAAAGAATTGGAACCCTTTAGAATACACCTCTTCAGTGGAGAAGAGGGAGATAGTAGTTAAAAGCGGATTTAAGAAGATTATAGGGGCAGCTAGGTGGCACAGTGGATAGAGCATTGGCCCTGGAGTCAGGAGGACCTGAGTTCAAATGTGACCTCAGACACATAACACTTACTAGCTGTGCGACCCTGGGCAAGTCACTTTACCCCACTGCTTAGCAAATAAATAAACAAATAAAATCCATTAAAAAAAGAGAAGATTATAGTTCTGGGATGGAGATTGATCATAATAGAATGATAGTATACTATCTCACTACAATTATGACTCTTGTTAATGTAATCTTATTCTTCTCACCTTTTATAAAAGTGTTTAGATAGAAACTGTTGTGGGACAAGTCTCTATTTTGCTATTATTCCTTTATGTTCCATGTTCCACAGAGTATTGTATAGGCATATTAAAAACTTGCTTTTTGCAGCTGAATAAAATTATCAGAACATAAGCTTATCCTCTGGAGGTTCACTGAAAACATCCTTGGTACAACTCCAATAGCAGATAGGATACAGGGGATGACATGGACCTCATCCTATCCCTATGTGGTTTTTATCTCCCCAGCCAAGTCTCTATACTTTGAAAACTCTTTATTCTATAAATCTTGGAGAATATGAATGTTATCTATTAAAATGCTATTTTTAAGCTTTTATGCATCAATGCTATATCCAGGAGATTGTGGACAACTCTTCAGTCTGCTGTGATCATGATCTAGTTCCGGTATAGTTTGTCATTTGAGTTCTCCAAGATATTTCAATGCCTGTATAGACTTATTGTCTATCTGTCCATAGAAGATAGCAAGCTTCTGATGTTGTATAACTCAAGCAACACCAGGTCATGTTTTGCTGGGTAGTCCACAGGTGTTAAAGTGTTGCAGCCTGCAGTTATATACACAGTCTCTACCATCTTTTTTGCACAATCTGCATAGGTCATTAAGCCTGGGGTCCCTAAAGTTAATCCTTCTGTAATTTCTTATGGCAATGATTTGGACCCCTGATTGCTATCATAAAACCCTTTTATTTAAACAAGCAAATATGCATGAGTCAGACATTTTTGGAAGCTTCTTTGTCAATATATTATGGACTGAGTTCATGTAATAAACACTGCCCATGGAGGGCCTTTTAATTCTACTCTCGGATCATAATTGTTTCATGGGCGCCATCTGGAGGTAATTTATTTTTGATTACATTTGGCAAATCCATTGCTATCACTTTGTGTGATAAAGTTATAATTATCATTATTATTAACAATTAGGTTAATACAATCTAGAAAGGCAGTGTGGAGTACTGGTTAGAGGTCAGGCCTGAGAATTAGGGGTACCTGAGTTTGAGTCTTTCCTCTTACAAACCCTAGTTGTTTAACCATAGGCAAGTCACTTAACCTCAGTGCCCCTCACAACTCTCTAAGACTCTTAAGTTATAGACAGTGGCCAGTCCACAGCCCTGGAAGGAATTTCCATATCCTAATAAAATCACACATCAAGACCTTCCCCCCTCCAAAAAAAAATAAGCTTAACTAAACTGAAAATATACTTGAATAGTAGGGCAACAACAGATTCTAGGAACTGTCAGAATCTTGTCTAGAATTGGGCAAGGAGCGTTCAGGTCAAGAAGTCATGGAGTGAATGACACTGGCTTACAGATCTATGATTTTAAGAGAAATAAGTTCTTAAGAAGTTTGTTGAAAGGAGAACAGTTTTAGTATCACTTGAAAAATAAAAATATGGTAGTAAAAATTAATTCATAGAAAACCCAACAAAACTTGGGTTTTCCTATGAATTAATTTTTACTACTATATTTTTTGCTATGAATAAAGAAACCATTAAACTTCTTTTAATAAATTTAAAGAGACTTTTTCTAATTCATGTCTTCTCTTCATGTCTAATTCAAAGAAATTCTCAAGTGACATGGGTTGCTTAGCTACAGGTATCCAAACATTTGGCTCTTGTGAGTACCTGGAGAGGCTGTAGCAACAATATTCTTAAGTTAGCAAGTCAAAAGAAAACTCACACAAACAAACAATAATGACACCATGCATGTCACATTATGGGATTGCATTGCTGAGATGGATGCTCCACTGGTGGGCCTACAGATGAACAGGGCCATTCCAGGCTCACCTCTTTAAAAGTCTTCTAGATCTTTGGCATTCATTTATCCAATCCCTGGAATGATCACAGAGATGACATGGGGTTGGGCCAACTTGTTTGCTGTTGCTGATAACTTCTCTATTGGTAGCTACAACTATCTATCTATCTATCTATCTATCTATCTATCTATCTATCTATCTATCTATCTATCCTTACTTTATAATACTATGTTATTGTCCAGTCATTTCAGTTGTGTCCAACTCTTTATGACTCCATTTGAGTTTTCTTGGCAAAGATACTGGAACGGTTTGCTATTTCCTTCTGTAAGCTCATTTCACAGATGAGGAAACTGAGGCAAACAATGCTAAGTGACTTGTCCAAAGTCATAAAGTTAGTGTCTGAGGCCAGATTTGAACTGGAGAAGACGAGTCTTCCTGACTCCAGGCCTAGCACTCTATCTACAGTGTCACCTATCTGCCCCTGTGCAGTGCTATAATATCACCCTAATGTCAATGTAAAGCAAAGCAATAGTGATTACATACTATTCCTTTTATTTGTAAGAGAAGATACAATTAATAATTCCATTATAACATGCTGCTAAAGATTAAAGTAGGGCTTTCCTACTTTAAAGGCAGAGAAACTAACTTGAGACATTTGCCAAAGGTCTCAGGCATCTTTGGTCCAGAGCTAAAAGGGACCTTAGAAAGACCATCTGCTTCAGCCTCTTCATTTCATGGATGGGGAAACTGAGGACCAGAGAGCTTATGTCACTTGCCTAAGGTCACAAGGTGAAGTCAGAATTTAAACCAAACCTTCCGGAGCCAAAATGAAATGCATACTTTCACAGCTACTGGAAAGGATGTGTCACTGGCCTCCTATGGCCCCACTGACCATCCCTCTAATTTTCTAAACCAAACTACTCCTCCCCAGCTACTTACCACCCTATGTGTGTCATCTCCCTCTTTAGAATATGGAATCCTTGAAGGCAGGGACTGTCTCAGTTTTTGTATTTGTATCTCCAGTATTTTGCAAAATGTTTGGTATATAGAAGGTGCTTTATAAATTTTCCCCCCATTCTGTAACTCTGACTCCAAATCTAGCACTTTTCACTGAATCACAAAACCTCCTTTCCCTTCATGCCAAGTGAGTGGCTACAAGGGATTTTTCTGATTATGAAACCTTCAAAAGTTTCTACTGGTTTGACAAATAAAGTATACACACCCCAATCCCAACATCCAAGGCCCTCCATGATATGGCTATCCCGTCCTATCTCATACAAATCCCCCTTACATACTCTGTGTTTCAGTCAAACTGAACTACTCACCACCCTCCTTTCCTATCTTGTCCCTTCCTTTCTGTGTTTTGGATCAGCTTGTCTTCCAGGCCCAGAATGTAGTCTTCACACTGCCTCCCCCAATCTCTGTCAAAATGCCTCCTCAAGGGCCATCTCACCCATGAATTCTTCCCTGACCCTTCACCTTATACCCTTTCCCCCTACCCATTCACCACAGGGTGAATACATTTCTCCCTCCTCAGATTTCCCACAATACTCTGCCTGGTCATCTCCTCTGCATTTACCTCACTCTCCCTTCCATCATGGTTATTTGTATATACATCTTTCCCTTCTTTACACTGCGAGCTCCTTTGAGATTGGGGACTTTGTTTTATCTATCCTTGCATTTCCAACATCGAACACAGTGCTTGGCATATTTAATAAATGTTGAATGAGTGAACTCTTAAACCTATATGCTATATCTCTGAGCATTCAGACATGATACAAGGACTCCTGACTTCAGGAAATTATCCCTTTTATACACTGTCCTCTCTCACTTGAATGCAATCTCCTTGAGGCTGGGGACTGTCCTGCTTGCTTGTTTTTCTATCCCCAGTGCTCCTTAGCATAGTACCTGATGCATAGTAGGTGCTTAAGGGATGATGTACATGTGTCTGTACATCCATCTCTTCATCCATTATCTATCATATGTCTGAAATTCTATCATCTATCTGCATATGTCTGTCTATCATCTATCTGTCCATCTGTCTGTCTATCTATATCAGGAAACTGAACTATCATGGAAGTGGTGGACACTGACACAATTCAGTGGGTGTCATGAGAAAAAACTCTTTCATCCTCGGCTCCACCCATACCTACTTTTAGCCCCACTCAATGGGACCACACTTATAAAGAGATTGCATCGATTACCCAGGATCAATGCCGAGTCATTTTCACCCCATGCTCTGGATTGATATAATCATACAGAATTGGCCATCTAGTTCAACTCCCTTCTTTTACAGATGATGACGCTGAGGTCTAGGAAGTATGAGTGACTGGTCCAAGGTTAGCTAGTTGGTAGTAACAGTGCTTTAAGGTTTGCAAAGCATTTTACAAATATATCATTTTGTCCTTACAACAACTCTAGGCTATAGGTGCTATTATTATCCCCATTTTACAGATGAGGAAACTGAGGCAGATAGGTTAAGTGACTTGCCCAAGATCACACAGCTGTCAAGTACCCAAGACTAGATTTGAACTCTGGACTTTCTAACTCCAAGTCCAATGCTCTATCCACCGCACCAGCTAGCTGACTACTAGTAGCACAGCCCTGGCTAGAAACTAGGCCTCTTGATTACCATCTGGTGGTCTTCCCCACTATACCCTGTTTTGAATCCCACTCCCTCAGTGCCTTGCTAGGTGACCGGCTGGGTCATCTGAAAACTGAATCCAATTAATACCATATTGTAACACTGCATTATTTCTAAGAAACAGTAGCCTCCAACCCTTTCATTCAAAGGAGTGGCTAATATGGTCAACTCAGATACAGCAGCAAGACTAGTAGGGAGATGTTGTCTGGTGTGGAGAGCGCCTTGTGGCATTGTCTAACCATCTGCTTGACTATAAGTCTACTGCTGTCCAACAGCACTAAGTTCACGTCAGGCCTCTGTTCTCTGGCTCTACATCACTGGAACAGAGAATAAAGGCTGTCAGAGGCCATTCTGATCAGTATGAAAGGATTATAAGAATTTTTTGTTAGTATCCCCAAACTGGAAACCGGTAGAAATGGTGAAATATTCATGCAATAGAATATTATTGTCCTACAGCAAATGATGAATATAAAGACATCAGAAAAGCTGGGTAAACAGAGAAGAAAAGAATATACCAGAAGGCTTTGTGATCATTATGACCATCCTTGGCCCCAGAGAAGAGATGAGCGAGTAAGCGCTAGATGGCCTCTGAGGTCCCTTCCAGCTCTGAATCTGTGAATCGATGAACCTCCCTCCATTTCTGTTGTGGTTGTTTTTGCTGCTGTAGAAGGGGGAGACTATGGGTATGGAATATTCCATATACTATGTGGAAATGTATTTTTTAAAATATAATTGTGAAACTAGAAATATTATGGAAATAGTATTCTCCAGCCTATAACCCTTTCCAGGCCTTTCTCTTGGAAAAGTAAGAAGAACAAAGCCCCTAGTTTTTTCCTATGAAATGGAGTAAGGGTTATAATCAAACTTCTTTTGTTTAGATGAAATTGCCCCTAGTGATTGGTGCCAGGACCCAACTGGGGAGACTACCTTTTCTTTTGAAAATCAAGGTTAAGATATTGATCACAGGAAAGAACTCCTAAGGGGAAGTGGTCCAGGAAAAAAAGAAATTCCAAACTATTTGGGAATATTATTACATGTTAACAAATTATCACCTTTTTCTTTGTTTAAGATTTCTACAAATGTTACCTCAAAATTGTCTTGGAGCAGAAACATGTCGGAAGGCATAAGAAAATACTGCTATTCTGAATCTCTCTCTCTCTCTCTCTCTCTCTCTCTCTCTCTCTCTCTCTCTCTCTTTTCTTTTTTTTTTTTCTCTCTCTCTCTCTTTCTCCCTCCCCCTCTTTGTCTCTCTGTATGTGTCAGAAATAACTCAGAATTAGAATAATGTTAAAATTGTATTTAGCAGACCGGTGCCTAGACACAGAATAGAGTATTAACTTTTTTCTTCAACAGCTGTCAGGCATGGGGAAGGTATCAGCTAATTCTGCTGAACTGCCTTTTCTCTATCATTTTTCTCTCTGTTAAAAGTGAGGGAAATATGTTTGGACAGTGAGAATGTAACATAAAAACAAAATTTTAAAAAATAACATTAAAAACCAAATACTGGCTGAACTGAATTAAATTCTGCCCTATGTAAGGCACAATCATTGCTGCTGAGCCTGAAGGGCTCCCCTCATTCACTGATTACTCTATAGGAATGGGGGGGGCCTCCTTTGCGTTCTTGGTCTACTCACCTGCAAAAGGAGCACAAAATAGTCCACAGGACGGTTGCGTTGGTAAAGATAGTGCTCGGGTGCTTTCTTGTTCTTTTCATCAAATTTCAGCTCTTGGATCACGTTGGGATGTTTCAGGAGCCGAAGCAGGATCTTCTCCGAAAGGTACAGAGACTTAAAGGGTTCCACTTCTGGAAGAAAGGAAGCTGGGCTGAATTCAGCATGAGTGGGGCAGAGACATCCCATTTGGCCCAGCACTGATCCCAGGAGTCAGGGCTAACAGTTTCAGCACTATTGGGTATGGACTGCACAACAAGCCCGTACAACCACAGTCCTGTTTCTTTGGTTCTTGACAGGCCAGCCACAGGAGCACTGGACCCTAAACTAATATGTATGTGCAGATCTTCCTAGACATTCACTTTGTGGTATATGACAAGCTGGAAATATGGGTCCCTAGGTTATGACCACAGAAGAAATAGGCCACCTTAGCAAAAAAAAAAAAAGATGAGTGTCACTATCAAAAGACCTCCTGGAACTCATCTGTTAGTGTAGAATCAGGAAGACCTCAATTCAAATCCGGCCTCAAGCATTTACTATCTGTGTGACCCTAGCCAAGTCAGTTAACCTCACTCAGCCTTAGTTTCCTCATCTGTAAAATGGGGATAATAATAAACCCCACCTTCCAAGTTTGTTGTAAGGATAAAATTAGGTAATATTTGTAAAACGCTTTGCAAACCTTGTAAATTATAGCCATTATTATCATCATCATCATCATCAATTATTATTACTAGCTAGGTGTACAGCTGTGTTATTCCAAATTCTGTGGAAGAGCTGCAAGTATTCTCAGCACCTTTTAAATTTGATGCCCCTGGACAAAGTTCCAGCCACCCCACCCTAGTTATGCTTTCAGTAGTTTCTGTTCCAGCAGCTACCCATGGCATTTTGACTCAAGTCTAGCAGCTCTAATCACCAAACTACACTACCCCTTGTGTGACTGGCCAAGGAGCATAATGAATGAGCACACATTATTATTAGAATTGGCAGCCCCTTTCTGCTAATTACTGTGGCTCATCCCAAAGCAGCCTTTGATGTGGAGAACTCAGAGGGACCTGGCACTCCAGAGAGACAGACATACCTGTGGCCATAAATCGATGTGTTGCCAACAGAAGCTGTGGAGATATCTTCACTTTCATTTCAGAGTCTGAAAGCTTGAAAAGGGAGAAATCATGTCTCTTCCTCTCCCGATGAGGGACCTGCTGCTTTTTCCGATTGTCTGCTAAAGAACCACAAGGAGACAAAGGATGGGTATACCAGCATACAGGGCAAACTACAGCTATCTCACCAACAGGTGCAGTCCTTGAGAAGTTGCATACAAACCTCTTGCAATGGAAAATAGACAAATGAAATTACTCTACCATATTTAGGCGCAGTGGGAAAAGCACAGAAGTAGGAGGTAGAGGGCCTTAGTTGAATCTTGCCTCTGGCACTTTATAGCTATATGAGCCTAGGCAAGTCACATCATCTCTGGGCTTCAGGCTCCTCATCTATAAAATAAGGAAGTTCAACCACATGTCTATAAGATCCTTTGTAGCTCTAAACCTCTTATTTCTTTGGGTACAAAATGGGATAAAAGATGGGAAAGGAACCCAAAGCCTATGTGATTTCTTATAACAGGTTCACCATCAGGTACAAGGAGGTCAACTTTAGAAACTAGTTACTTCCCATCTCCTAAAAAGATCTTTCAGTCATACCCTATATGGTATTTTGTGAGCTTCCCTTAACTCAGAGGAAAAGGTATCAGGCCTAGCTGAGGCTCACCCACTATAGATGATGCGGATTTGAGGAGCAGATATCTCCCAACAATCCTCTGCTACAGCTGTTTTCTAGACCCTCCTCTGATTCTGGTGTCCTCAGCCTTGGTTCCTTGACCTTTGCCAAACAAATGCTTTTGACCTGAACCTTTCAGTACACTGCCCTGGGATTCCCTTTTTACATCAAATGGATTGAATCCTTGCCAAGACCCTGGCTTGGAAAGGGGGAATATAGTAAGTTGAATCAGTCTGGGGTACCCCACACTCATATTTCCCTCTATGTCACTATTGTGGGTTAACTTCCTGTCCAGACCATGACTTGAACTTGAGCTTCCTATGACTGACCCTTACTTTTGATTTTAGAGGTTGATACCCCCAATACTGCTATCAGGGCCATCTTCTCCCAGACTGTGCACTTGTAATAAATGCTTCAACGACAACAACTACTACCACTACTACCACTACTACTTCTTCTTCTTCTTCTTCTTCTTCTTCTTCTTCTTCTTCTTCTTCTTCTTCTTCTTCTTCTTCTTCTTCCTCCTCCTCCTCCTCCTCCTCCTCTCCTCTCCTCCTCCTCCTCCTCCTCCTCCTCCTCCTCCTCTCTCCTCCTCCTCTCCTCCTCCCTCCTTCTTCTTCTTCTTCTTCTTCTTCTTCTTCTTCTTCTTCTTCTTCTTCTCCTCCTCCTCCTCCTCCTCCTCTTCCTCCTCCTCCTCCTCCTCCTCTTCCTCCTCTTTCTTTTTCCATCACCCTGGTTCTTTTCCTAAAATACAAGTCTAAAGGCAAGTTGATAGCAGAGCTGAGATTGGAGAAACCAATACCTAGATAGGTTCCTCCCTCCTGGGAAGGAAATTCACAACTCAGGGTCTATTATACCTCCATCCCTGCCTTTATATACACCAGATGGAAAGCCAGACAGTAGAACACAGGCTCTACCATAACAGGGTAGCCTTCACTTAGGTAGCTGCCTAAAGTACAACTCAAGAGAGCAAGGTATGGATATACTGTGAGAGCCTTTTTTCTACTACTTTGTATAAGTACACATATTTTTAGTTCTGGAAAACTCTGCTCTCTATGGCACGTAGAGATTGTTTAAAAAATAGTAATGGTAAGTTGCACCTTTTTCAGGGAAGGTTTCTAGTCTCAGGTGAGAAAAGTGGGCCTGGGGTAACAATTTCAAGCCTCACATTCAAATGCCTCATCCTAGCTCTGGCCATAAAGGGTCATTCTATAAATCTGAGGGTAGGGGGTGGGGGGGTGCCTCACCTTGCCGCTTAGAATCCAGAGAACATTAGAGGACAATCTCAGGGCACTGGTTCTAATAAGACTCTAGCAGAAAAAAAGCCAATTTCATTAATGCTGTCTTGGTCCCCTTGCTTTTCCCTGAATATTGCTTCCCTGCAGAAATTCCTACCCCAACAGAATTCAACATTAAGAATGGAGAGAAGCCAGTCATGATGTAGATGGCCTTTGAATTCTGGCACCACCACCACCTGCTAGGAGCCCCAAACCTGCCATTGTGTAATTAGATCACTGGAAGTTAGAGGGGCAGCTCAGTGGTGCAGGATAGAGCACTGGCCTAGAGTCAGGAAGACCTGAGTTCAAATCAGGCTCAGATACTTAGTGGTTGTGTGACCCTGGGCAAGTCAGTTAATTTCTTTTTGCTTCAGTTTCCTGATCTGTAAAATGAGGATAATAACAGCACCTGCCTCCCAGGGCTGTTGTCAGGATCAAATGAGATATCTGTAAAGTATTCAGCACAGTGCCTGGCACATAGTAAGTGCTATATAAATGTTAGCTCTTGTTAACTATTATTATTACTTAGAGTCCCTGTAGTCAGCCTAGACTAAGGGTTCTAAATCTATTTTGTGTCATGGACCCCCTTTGGCAATATTTAGCAAAACCTTTGGCAACCTTCTCAGGATAAGGTTTTTTTATAATTTAAAAAATTTTTAAATTTATTTATTTTCAGTTTTCAACATTCAGTTCCATAAGCTTTTGAGTTTTAAATTTTCTCCACCTCCCTCCCTTCCCTCTTTTCCAAGACAGCATGCAATCTGATATAGGCTCTACACATACATTCTTATTAAACATGTTTTCACATTAGTCATGTTGTAAAGAAGAATCAGAATGAATGGAAGGAACCATGAGAAAGAAGAAACAAAACAAAACAAAACAAAAAAAAGAGAGCAAATAGCATGCTTCCATCTGCATTCACAGTCCACGGTTTTTTCTCTGGACGTGGATAACATTTTCCATTATGAGTCTTCTGGAGTTGTCTTAGATCCTTGTATTGCTGAGAAGAGCTGTCTATCAAAATCAGCCATCACACAGAGTGGCTGTTACTGTGTCCAATGTTCTCCTGGTTCTGCTCACTTAACTCAGCATCAGTTCATATAAATCCTCCCAGGTTTTTCTGAAGTCTGCCTGCTCATCATTTCTTATAGCATAATAGTATTCCATTACATCCATAAACCACAACTTGTTCAACTCCTCCCCAATTGATGGACATCCCCTCAATTTCCAATTCTTGGCCACCACAAAAAGAGCTGCTGTAAATATTTTTGTACATATAGGTCTTTTCCCCATTTTTATGATCTTTTTGAAGTACAGTCCTAGAAGTGGTATTGCTGGGTCAATCAGAATAAGGTTTTTAAATGTACAAAATAAAACAGAGATTACAAAGGAAACCAATTTTTTTTTACCATTAGAAAATGGCATAATTACACAACCAGAGAATGTAGAAGACTCTCTACCTGAAATCATACTGAAATACAGCTTTCAAAATAGTTTTTAAAAAGTTTACAGCCCCCAGGTTAAGAACCCATAACCTAGACCTTGAACCAGTGGCAGATTAAAATGGACTCCTCTGCTCCTCCCAACAATACTACATTTTTTCCCCTAGCTGATTCTCCTTCTACATACACTGTGTCCTTGGGAAACAACTTCAGGTTGTTTTGAAGTTAAAAATAAAACCTAAGCTTGTGGGTTCCCAGAAGAAGCCACTTCCCCTATCACTCCTAAAGCCTCAGAATCTTACAACAATCTAGCCACAATTAGAGGTGGTTGAGGGCATTTGTCAATATCAGCAGTAGGAGGCATTACCCAAGGTCATCTATGAATGGGTCACTCCCTCCTAGAAAGGAAATTTACAGCCAAGGGTCTATTCCCCTCCACCCCTGCCTTCACACACCCCAGAGGGGAAAGGAGACAGGAGGACTAAGTCTTTGTCATAACAGTCTAGCCAGGAGCCATCAGAGAATGTAGAAGACCCCCGACCTTGTGACTGGGGGCTTTCATTGGCCACAGATGTGTCATTAGATGTGCTAGGTTGCTCACCATTCTCCTCTGAGGACAGGAAACACAGAAACAAGCTCAACCATCCCCACAATCCATAGAAGCTCGACTAGACAGAGTATTACCTTATGGTTCTCAACAATGCTTGTTCCATACCAGTCATAGGAATACAGACTAAAAGTTGGAAGGAATCTTAGAGATTATTGAGGCCAACTCCATCATTTGACAGATGAAGAAGCTAATACCCAGAAAGGAGGAGTGAATTACCCAAGGTCATACAGATAGCAGAGTCAAGATTTGAACTCAGGTCCTCAGACTCCAAATCCACTCTTTTCCACTGTTTCAAGTTACCTGCTTTGTGAGGAATCCTGCAAGCAAGCCCCAGACCCTGGGTAAGAAACATCCTCACACATCTCTTATCTCGCCACACAGAGCGAAAAGACAAGCACCCATAGGGCTTCCCTGGTGCCCAGCCTTTCCTCACCTTCTTTCATTCGCTCTCTCCTTTCATGCTGGAAGTCACAGGCACCAAAACCAGTGATTCTTCTTCCATGTTCTAACACTTCTAATACCCTGGACAGTTTCAACCTGCTATATTCTCAACTCTTCCAGCAATTAGCTTACATAAATCCAATCCAACAAGCTCTCAACACAGTGCCTGGCACATAGTAGGTGCTTAATCAGTGTTTACTGATTGATGTGTTTGGTGCCTGCTCTGTGTTAGGCACTGTGGTGCAGAATTTTGATCACTTGCTCTGAGATGGTGAGGACTGGAGGACAGAAGTGTAGACTGTTCCTACACATGTAGCGGCACCTGTGTCTCTTCTCCTCATAGCCCTACAGCAGCTTAACATCTAGGCAATGTGGAGCCAGTACTCACACACCAGCAAGGTCTTTACTCAGAACAAGCACTCAAAGGAGGTCTCCACTGGAGCTGTCCCACAGCTGTTCCGGACATCACTGTAGTTCTGAGCAGCTGCATTCAGTGGCATGATGGGAAATGCTTAACAACTGGCTCTTCGGGAAATTTTACAAAATGTACTCACAACAGATTATTAAGTTCAATCTTCATTATTAACATTTTCTTCATCATTTTCCTAAGTTTGAACAATCAACAAAACAAGAAACCAAGTCCTGATCACTGCTGACTTCAAGTCCAGGGCCCTATTCACTAATTCCACGCTGTCCCAATGTCTAAAAAGGGAACTCACTAATCCTCAATATGCCATAGAGGTGATTTACACAATATATTTTACTGATGCTTTTTGTTTTTAGATCACAGTCATTTCTAGAGTAATCCACCCCTTACCCCCTCTCGCCTCCCCCACAACTGAATACTTCCTTAAAACAAACCCTCCTCTTCAAAAACAAACAAACAAACAAACAAACAAATAAATAAATAAATAAAGCAAAACCAAATAATTCAGTGACCATGTCTGACAATGCATACAGCATTCTGCCTCCAAGGTCCTTCATCTCTCTGATGAAAGAAGGGAGGTATATTTTGTTATATATCATCTAGGACCAATTACTCAAAGCTTGGTTTCCTTTTAGTATTCTTTTCATTTACTTTATTGGTAGTCATTGAGTATATTGTTCAAAGGTGATTATTATTATATTACATTAACGACACCTCAGAGGAAGATTCAAATTGGGCCAGGATCTGCTTCAGAAACATGGCCAATATAGCCATGTGGACATTGTCCAAAGTTGAAGAAATAATCCAGGCTGACACTTTTTTCAAATTGACTCCCTTTTCACGGAGGTTCCAAAGGGACTAATAGAAAATCGAGATAAAAGCAACATTCAGCACTTACTATACAGGTCAGTTTCATCCAGAATCTCTGATTTGATGATCTCCTCTATGATATCCTCTAGAGTAACGATGCCCATCACCTCGTAAAAGGGATCTCCTTCTCCCTCATTATTCACCCTCTGGACGATGGCTAGATGAGATTTTCCTGTTGAGGCAAAGAAATTCAAAATGGAGGCACATCGATTTAAGGCTCCAGGAGAGTTGCTTAAATCATCCTGCTGTCAAGAAGTAGCATACAGTTTGTACTTTGGTCAGCTGCTCACCAGGCTTTTATTTTTTGTTTTTATTAAGTGCCTACCATGGGCCAGCCACAGGGCTAAACTCTGGGGACTCAAAGAAAGACAAAAACCAGTCCCTGACCCCAAGGAGCTCATTTACATTACAAACATTTACAGATTATCCTTCTTCACCCCCCACTCCAGGACAAGTCTCTAGTAATAAAGTGAAGCAATTATGTAAAACTAACAATACAATAACCTCATCTGAAAATGCATGCAACATTTCACTTCTGTAGCTGCAAAAAACAAAACAAAACAAAAACAAAAAACAAACAAAAACCAAATGATCCTATGCTTTGGTGCTCATTGAAGTCCTGATCTGAAATAAATGATCATATGTATTAACCCATTTTGAATCCTCTTTGCCTATCGTAGTTTTCATGGAAGTTATTCTTTCCTATCTTCTTCCACACAGCGTGATGCAATGCAATGAGTGCTAGATTTGCCACCCAACGGCATGGATTTAGGTAGGAGTCAAACCTTTTAAACTCTTGACTCTAGGTCCAACAACCTTTCCAGTTGAAGTTCAGCATTCTTTATACTAAATCTTTTTGCTTCTAAGAAAAGGTCAAAGGGTATGGCCCTGAAGTCAGGAGGACCTCAGTTCAAATCTGACCTCAGACTAAACACTTGATGCTAGCTGTGTGACCCTGGGCAAGTCACTTACCCCCAATTGCCTTAAAAAAATAAATAAATAAAAAGAAAAGGTCAAGAGACCAGTATTCTGTTCATCATGTTTGTAATATCTGGGTTCCCTGAGAACATGACTACAATTAGCTTTGCTTTTCCCTTCCATCTAGACTCATTACCCTTTCAAAAATACAAGTCTAGTGACAGGTATTGGCAACAGTGCTGAACGCAGGGATAGAAGCAGGCAGTGGTTTATGGTGCAAAACTTGGTGGAAACTTATTTTTTTAATATTGATTTTTTAAAATAAACACACAATTTTTAATGCTAAAAAAGTTTCATGTCAGAAACAATAAGGAAAAAATTAAGGCATGAATTGAGAGCTCTAAAAGAAGATATGCTATGACTTTTGATGCCAGCATCTCTGTACCTACATTATTCTTTATGGTATAGTAGAAAGAGCACTGGATCTCTGGGTTCGAATGCTAGCTCTGCCACTTGCTGTCTGAGGGATCTCAGGGAAGTCAGTGAACCTCTCTGGAGCCTCAGTTTCTTCATCTATGAAATGGGATGATTGGGCTAGACACATTCTAAGGTTCCCTTCCAGCTCTGAATCAGTGGTCTCCTTTATCTCCTTTACTAGACTTTAAGCTTTAAAGAAACAGTAACTATGATTCCTTTGCATCCCTAGATTCTAACATAGGCCCTTGCACATAGTAGGTGTTCAGTAAATGTCTCATGAACTGAAACATTCTGTCAAAAAAATCAGAAAGTGATTTTCCTTAGTGATTTTTTTAAAAAAATGTCATACTTCTATGGAGGAGGCAGAAAGGGAGGACGATGGGAAAAGGTGACATTTCATTGGGAGGAATGAATTCTGCATAAAAACCAAAGATTCAAAAATAATAAATCAGTTTATTTAGAACATTAGTCCTGGCTCATGCAGTCTGTTGTACAAAGGTCCAGGGAGTGGGCGAACAGCGTGTAGAGTCACAGGCTACCCCAAATGTAGTGTAAGAGTTCCATCTGGTGGCAATCTCTGGTGATGGCAATGGGGAAATAAATGATGGTCCCCATACATCTGAGTGCTACACTTGGGTCTATGTCGACTGGATTTGGGAAGGTTCTAGGATCATGAACTGTAGCCCTTGGACCCACAATTCCTTCGATCCTTTACTGAAGTTTTAACTAGCTTGCCAGATACATTTTACGGGTATTTAGAAATAGAACATGTTGGTGTCACATGGGTCCTAATTTTGCAAGCGTCTTCATTTTCCTTTGGGTAGATGCTTTAAAACACAAATTATTGATTCTCCTATCTATAACATTTGTATCTTCATCTTTAATGGCAATAATGGGGGAAGTGGCTTGAATCCTGACTGTGCCCTTTTCTCTCTCCTTTCTTGGGATGGTCTGAGAAATTAGCTCTTGAAGCAGAAAGATTTATAGGTATGGAGGGGAACAGTGGTTCTTCTAGCTGTGTGGAAACCAGCAGAATTTCAAAAAAACTTCTCCAAGAATATAACTGCATTGATTTCAGCTTCCCCCACATAATGACTGAGAGTATCCCCGGAAAAGAGGGCTGCTCTTTAAATAATTTAGAACCACATAAAGCTGGGGCAGTGGCCCAAGAATCACTTTTTTCATTTCAGCAAGATCTTTTTAGTTAACAATGTATCTATAATTAAAGCTACCTTTGGCATAGGACCATGAAATGGAAAGCACCATGATTTTATGATTGTAAGCCTATTTAGACTTCCCTATACCTAATTTTTCCTGAGACAGGCTATCTGTGCTCTAGATAGGTCCCTTCCTCTACATGGCACCCCCTCCTTTTTCTGGAACCTCCTTGGCTCAGAAACTTCCATGATGAAAACTTTTATCTCCCATGTACCTGGCTAGATATGAGAGGTGGGGAACCAAAGATTTTCACCTGAATTAAACCCTAGATTCCTCTATATCTCTGAACTGTTCCTCCAGAACAGGCAGCCCCTGACATGGAATGATAATACACTGGACAGTCCCATCATTAAACCCAAGACGGATGCCAATCCTCTAGTGATATCCATGTTGTAGCCATTCTCTGTTCCTTGTCCATCCTTTGGACATATCAGATGTTTCCATGGTTTGGGGATGAGTACTACCCCTAATGCCTTTCCCTCATTGTCCTGGCCTCCATTTACAAGTTTCCAATCTTTGGTATCTACTGTTAAGTCACATATCCCTTCCTAAATGTGCCATATAAAAGCCTATTGTTCTGCATTGAATGGCTGGCCTAATTCTACAATGCAATTTAATTAGACAAGCATTTATTAAGTACCCATTATGTGCCAGGCACTGTGATGGGTGCTAGGAACACAAAGAAAAAAAAAAACTCAGCCCCTGACAGTCAAGGACTTTAAAATCTACTACTGACTCCTAAGCCTAAAATACTCTGTGCTGGGTCCTCTTCTCTTTTCTCTTTATAATTTCTCTCTTAAAACGCTCTCATCAGTTCCCATTCCTTCAATTTTCTTCTCTGCACACAATTGCCATATGTGTCTATCTAATCTCTCTGCTAAACTTCAGTCCTAGCAGGGTCTGTCTTTAAGTCCCAGGATAATAGCTACTTCATAGAAATGGTGTACTCCCAGGAAACTCCAAGGATCTGGTTTTGATTGAGGGGCGAGTCAAGAGTTAGCTAGTCTTTGCCAGTCATTTCTTATTTTGGCTCCAATGGTTCATTTAAAATGCTCTCTAGACACATCCTCAGACCATTGTGACAAAAGGCTCTTCTCTGGCACCAGAGAATTTCAAGTGAGTTAAGAGAGTGACTTTCTTTCACTGCTTTGGAGGAGCTGAATGAGACATTGTCACTCTGACCCAGAATCCAATGTGAAAACTGGCCACAGTATTATACTAGTCTCTCTTGTACATTTAAATGGTCTTCCTGTTTATTTTTCTTTTTACTGTGTTGTGCTGATAGATGTACCTATTATTCATTCATCTGATACAAGATGGGGTGGGCAAATCCCTGAGCTAAGGATGCTGGGAACAGTCATGCCTCTGTTAGAAACAAGAAACATCCAATGGGAAGGCCCACCCCACCTCAATAAATCCTCTTACCCCTGGAGAAAAAAACCAGGCCCTGTTAGGTATCAATTCTGCTCAATTCTAGCAACTGTGTTGTTTCTGCACTCTGTTGCTCTGTGAATTCCAGGACCAAAGCTTATGGGGATTCAGGCTTCAAGGTTTGTGGTTCTAAAGATGAAGGAGTCTCACAGAATCCGTAGCTAACCTTCAATATCAGCCCAAGAGCCACTTGCACATAAAGCCTTTCCTGATGCCCTCACTCCAAATAGGTTTGTATTTATTTATATGTGTGCCTACTTCCCTAACAGAATGCGAGCTTCTTGAGGGTAGGGACTTTCTTCATATTCCCAATACCCAGCACATAGTAGATTGTTGTTGTTAATTCAGTCATATCCAATTCTTCCTGACCCCATTTGAGGCTTTCTTGGCAAAGATACTGGAGTGGTTTGCCATTTCCTTCTCCAGCTCATTTGACAGATGAGGAAACTGAGGCAAACAGGATTAATCAATTTGCCCAGGGTCCCACAGCTAAGTGTCTGAGGCCACATTTGAATTCAGGTCTTCCTGACTCCAAGCCTGGCACGCTAACCACTATGCCATCTAGCTGTCCAACTCATGGAAGGTACTTGTTATAAATACTACTGTGTGACCTACAAATCAATTAACAAGACTAATTCATTAAATACAAACTTAAATTGCTTGGCTAGAGTCTCAGGAGTCCGGAAGACTGCCTGAGAGATTCAAGGCCCAGCGCTGTACCTATTTATGGTTTCCCGTAATGGAGGGAGACTAAAGAATGTCCCACGTCACAAAATGCATCTTTGAGCACAGTGGCCATGGGCTCACAAACTGTCAGCAATGAGAAGGGTTCTTGGGGATCATTTAGTTCAATGCTTTCATTTCGCAGATGAGGAAATCAAGGTCAACAGAAGTGATGTGTTCTCTTTAAAGTCACACAGACAGTTGACTGGAGAGCTGAATCTATTTCTCCTGACTCCTACTTGAAAGTTCTTCCCACTCTCCATCTTGCCCCCTCACTATAATCTAAGCCAATTAAAATCACCATTCAGATTCAATTAGTTTTTCCTTTTAAAAACTCTTTTCTTGTTGAATGAGGTCTTCTGTTGAGACAGTGAAGAGAACACTGGGTCTGTAGTTCAAGGACTT